GGTGCGGTTGGGTGGGGGCTGTGCTGGTAGAGTTGAATCAAGCTGAACCATGTGATGCCCCCTAGATGAACTGACCTCTCAGGAGCTACAAAAATCAAAAGCCCTGAAAAAGTTGTAGCTCCTCAGGCAGAGAGTACCCCCGCCCTTCCGTTTTTTGCACACACGGGAACACTACTCAGCATCAGTCAAGTTTGGAGACAGGAATTCCTTCCTAAAGTTGGGGCACAACAACATCAGTTAGAGAACCCGTCAACAGGAGCCCCCACTTTATTCTGGGCAGGAAGTCGGTGCTGCCTTCTCCCTACCCCCTGCTTTGGGAGGGGCGTGCAGGTTGGGGATGTGCTAAGGGCAGCTGTTCTCAGCTTCACACTATGCAAATTACCTGGGTCGTTAATCATGTAAAAATGTCACAATTAGCATCTTCTTAAGTGGGACTCTAATGAAGCCTCCCTTGGCAGCCAGCATAAGTTGAGATGGAGCTGCCCCACCCCCAGCAGGCACCAGCCCCGGAGGCACAGGCTAGGCAGAGATCTGCTCCCGAAGGGTCACAGCTTTCCCTTCACCTATCAGTAAAGGGTAGATTTGCATGGGGTGAGAGTGCTTTTCCCAAACCTACCTGGAAGCGGCGCATGTCTCGGGGATTCCCTGCGTTCTTCAAGCAGTTCTGGTTGCATTTGAGAAAGAATTTGAGGAAGAACCTGAAACAGTGAGGTTAGGAGGCTCAGGGGTCTGGGGATTCTGTAAATAGATGAAGATCATGGCTCCCTGCCTTGTCTCCTCCCAGCCCCTTGTTTGCGTACACACAGGTGCACACTCCATATTCCTATCTCAAGCTGTGTACACACAGGGTGCCTGAGATGGACCAAACAGATCCCTCACAAGGACTACCTTGTCACACAGATGCGCACAGTGCTTATTTGTCTGTAAAGCGTATATTTATCCACCTGCACAGTGTATCCATCACAGAATGTGCCAATCATAAATTCTACAGTATATGTGTGTACCTATTACTCACAAATTACAATCATCACAATGTGTACAATATATATTCTACACGTAGCATATACTTACATATGCCCACTATTGAATGAAAATTTTTACCATGTATGTCTGTCACATTTGGTGACACACACATCTGTCATACAGCACATCTCTCTCCCAGATGACAACCATCACCTAAACAAACCCATATAAACTATACAAACTGTATCAGTTATAGATGATGTATATGCTTTATTATTACTCACGAGTTACAGCCATAGCAAAGCATGTATTTCACCTAAGATCTATACTCATCAAACATGAGGCCAGGAGGTGGTGGCGCACACCTTTAATCCCAGCACTTGGGAGGCAGAGGCAGGCGGATCTCTGTGAGTTTGAAGCCAGCCTGATCTACATAATGAGTTTAGGCCAATCAAAACTACATAGAGAGATGTTGTCTCAAAACAATCAAAAACCAAAGAAACACAGTTTGTGAGTAGTACAATGCACAAGTAAGTCCATGCCCATCACGTGTGTTATGTGTACATCCTATAGGGTATATGCATATCAAGAATATAGAAAATAATATGCCTATTTGTGTTGTATATGACTTTAAAAACTGTCACTGAAAATAACATCCCCCTCAGCAGATTCCTCTTCCACAGATTTTCTATTCATTATACACAGAAACCTGATAACACAGAACACATACTTACCAGACACTCATATACCATACAGATATGCAGATTAGCTTCTTTGTTGGTTTTTGTTTGTTTGTTTTTTGAGACAGGATTTCTCTGTATAGCCCTGGCTGTCTTGGAACTCTTTTGTAGACTAGGCTGGCCTTGAATTTGCGGAGATCCACTTGCCTCTGCCTCCCAAATGCCAAATGATGGGATTAAAGGTGTGTACCACTACCTTTTTTTAAATGTATAATTGGTAAACAACAAACAGCAAGAACGAGCTACAGTATATGCCTTGAAGAGGCCAATCCTTCAGTCTTCCAAACAGTTGGTGGGAAGCCCTGACACCATCGGTAAGGCAACCATGGACAATACTCTAGCCATTGTAAATGCAAATACTATGTGTGCCTTAGCCCCATGAGACTTTGTGAGCATCTTTGGACATTTTCTACATGTAGAGGGCAGGGCTAAGTCCATGAAGGGTCTTGGCATGTAGCATAACTTCCTGGGCATCTGATGAGCTCTTCTAGTTAATGTTCCTAATTTACTTCCACTTATTTGGGAGGCATTTTTCCCAAGCTGCTTCTTACAATAAACAGCAGATAAGAGTTTAACATTAGGATGATACCCTGAAAGAGTACATATTGTAGCTACCTGTATACTATATATACACATTTCTTACCTGTTAAGACATTTTATGGTATAGATGCCCTAGAGCTCATACAAACATAGTCCTCATATATGTCCCACCCCCAAATGGGTAGTGTATCAGCTCCCTAGACAGAGTACAGGTTAGTTCATTAATTCTCAGTACCCAGCATGCTCTATCAGGGGCTAGAAGGAGGGAAACATCTCAGATTGGGACAAAGTCCTGTGCTGAGGGGATTAATGCTAACTCCTAAATACCATGAATGATATGACCAGCAAGGTGATGGTGGATCACCCAAAGGTATTTCCCTAGTAGCCACACTTGCCCACTGTACCCAACTCCCAATCCTGTGGATTTGAGAGGAATGGTTCCTGGGATGTGGATGGGATGTGGGTACCACAAGCAAGTGCTACTCTGCAGACTCTGTCAACTGGAGGGCTGTGGATGTAACTGGTTTTCAGAAGGCATCCAGACCAGCAACACTGCATGGAAACGTGGTAGGAATGCAGAAGCTCTGCTCTAGGCCTGCTGAATCTAAACAGTTCTGCTGGGACCCAGCCTCTGTGTTCTTTGTGGCACTGAACCTCTGGGAATGTGGTTTAGTCTCAATCTAAGATGTCCTGCAAGTATTAAACACATATTTAATTTCAAACACTTTGGGAAAAAGACTACAAAATAACTCAGGAGTTAGCTGGATATGGAAGTGCGTACCTGTAATCTCAGCACTCGGTGGGTAGAAGTGGGAAGATCAGGAGCTCAAAGCTAGCCTCAGCTACATAGTGAGTTTAAGGCTAGCCTGGGCTACATGAACCACACTCCTCCCCCCAAAAAAAGAACCTTGGCAATTTTTTATCACATTGGAACAATAATAGTTGAGATACACTGGATTAAAGAAAATGCATTATCACCATTAATTTTACCTATTTTTTAAAACGAAGTTGTAACTAGTAAATCTCAAATGTGGCCTGCATTGCATTTATATTAGATAATGCTGCTGTAGAGTGTTATGTCAATAACAAAGCCCAAGAGCATCTGATCCTCCTCTTATCTCCAGTGAATGGGGCAGCCATGCTGTGATGCTAGGAGCTGACTGGTAAAAACTGGTAAGACATAAATGATGCTTGTTGGAAAAGGTAAATAATTTTTGTTTGGTAGAGAAATTTTGCAACTTTGTTGTCCTATGGACATTATCTAGCTTTGTATCTAACCTGTCATACTCTAGTCTTTTTCACACACACTCTGCCTTTCCCTTCCTCCCTTTCTTCCCCCCTCCCTTTCATAGCTATGTATAAATTTCTTCAGAGCCAGTCTGTTACCCCACTGGTTACAGAGAACATCAAAAGATTCACAGCCATGGTCTTTTCACATTTGAAGATTGAGCTTTGGTATAAGTGACTGTGCCACTCAGTGTTCCTACCTCCCAAGGCTGCAGTTGGAGAAATGTGGTGAAGGAAGGGAATGGGAAGAGGTGGCAAGTTCTCTAACTCATGTCTGTAGAGGCCAGACGTGGAGATTGGGAGCTGGGGGAGGGAGGGTTCTGGAACCTGGTGGGAAGGAACAGCTGCAGAGAGACAAATACACATGGGGACAAGGACCTGAGCATCTAAAACACCATCAGGGGCCTGGGGTGTGTAACTAGGTATACATGTTTTATTGAGGATTTATAATCCCAGCTCATCATGAAGGAAGTACACTCTACCCCTAAAGCCATGTGTCCTATGTGCAGCACTCCTTGTTCCTGGCTCCACAGGGCTGGAGGGGAGCCCAGGGAAGTCCTTTTCTCTGAGATGGACCACAGGCTGGAGGAAAAGAAGTCAATACCAAGCCCACAGACCCCACTAGAGTGAGCACGGGACTGTACCTAGTATCATTCTCACTGGTGGTAACAGATACCTCTGGGGACACAATTTCATCTGGATCTCCAAGAAATGACTATGAGACAAAGGCGACACCCAAAGAGCTGCCCTTAGAATTAATGGGAGAAAGTACTACAAATACAAGTATTAGGTGAAAATAAAATGCTTCATAGAGGGAACAATACAAAACCCTTAAAGCAAACCCATTCTAACCAATCATTCAGTGAATGCCTGGGACTCTGCTCAGTCCATCACCTGCCATTATCTTGTTTCCTCCTCTCAAAACTCTGAGGTGGTGTGTAGATCTGTAATTGTTCCCACTGCACAAACAAAACTCAAGTTTAAGCAAGTTTAAGTTACACAGACTAGTGGGTCTAAAGTTCAGATGTGAACTTGGGTCTCTTTGAACTGCTGTTGCCGACTAGAGCCCCTGTTGGTGGGGATGTCAGACTCCAGAGCTACCCAGCCACACAGTGGTGTGGCAGGAGTTCACAGCCCTAAGAGATGTCTTGTGCAGGGACCAGTAGATCTGCTCTATGCTGTTTCCTCAAGATTTCCATTTGCCTGTAGTGTGGGCCTTTGGATATTGTGACTGAGGCTTTCAAACATTCTAGATTAGACCGGGCATTGGTGGCACGTGCCTTTAATCCTGGCACTCAGGAGGCAGAGGCAGGTGGATCTCTGTGAGTTCGAGACCAGCCTGGTCTACAAGAGCTAGTTCCAGGACAGCCTCCAAAGTCACAGAGAAACCCTGTCTCGAAAAACAAAACAAAACAAAAAAATTCTAGCTTAAACAAATCTGAACAAGATGAGCTAAGATGGATATTTTATTTAAAGATTTAAGTGTTTGGTTTTTTAAAATTTTTTAATGTACACTGACTGGTGTTTTGACACATAACTGGAGTTACAGACAGCTGCGAGCTGCCATGTGGGTGCTGGGAATTGAACCCAGGTCCTCTGGAAGAGTATTCAGTGCTCCTAACCACTAAGCCATCTCTCTGACCTCCAAGATTGATGATTTTTGAAGCTCTTTGAGGCTCAGTATCTTTCTGCTTCTATATTCAACTCTCTCCATAATAGAAAATGTAATCAAGGCTGGGTGGTGGTGGCACATGCCTTAAATCCCAGCACTCAGGAGACAGAGGCCAGCAGATCTCTGAGTTCAAATGCTAGCCTGGTCTACAGAGTGAGTTCCAGAAGAAAACCCTGTCTTGAAAAACAAAAACAAAAGTTAAGAAAGAAAATGTAATTATCAAAACAAAACAGAAAGTAGCCCTAACAGTACTCATCCACTTAATAAAGCATTTAAGGTAAATATGCATCAGGATACAGAGCCTGTGATTTAAAGACAAGTCAAGAGCAGGTGTGGTGGCCACACCTTTAATCCTAGCACTCAAGAGGCAGAAGCAGGCAGAGATCTCTGTGATTTCCAGGCCAGTCTGGTCTACACAGAACTTCATAATGAGACCTTGTCTCAAAACAAAAGAGAACAAACAGCATAGTATCTCAGGCATACCTACTCTCCTACA